TGTCACCTTTTCCTCTTGAAAAATTATAAAAACTTATGAATAGTTTAATTAAAAGTTATGCATAATTATTTAAATAATATAAGAAGTTAAATTGAAATAAAACTATTTCTGGGTCACAGTAGCTCATTAATCATTAGCTTGCTAGTTATTACATAATAGAAATAACATGTGCTTACTGCATTTTCTAGGTTTACTATGTCATGAAAAATCAGAAGAATTTGATTAATTTTTATGAGTAAATTCAAAAAATTCTGGAAATATTTTACTGTATTTTTTTTTTCCATGGAGACAGTTAATGACAAAATGACATTCCAGTGAAGACACGGTGGGATCAGAGCAACTTTTTCAACAGAAACAGCGTGAAAGAGACTGTCTCCTGGGCACCCCTTCTCCGAAGAGCTCCGCGACAGGGGACCTGTCCCGCTGCAGCCGGGACGTTGCCTGCAGGCGAGGGGCTGGTCTGCACCCTGTGGCATGAGGTCTGCAAAGAGTGCATGCTGCATCACCTCTGCAAAACTGGAGCTGTCCTGACGTTGCAGGCTAGCATTGTCTTGGATGAATTTTGACTTTTGCGATATCCATGTAATTTAAACAGAAAGGGAATGCAAAAGTGCACGGGCTCTTTTGTTTGTCTAGTTCCTTTGATCTTGTGGGAAGGCAATGAGCAGCTTGCTAGGCAAACATTTGTCAACTAGCAGAGACTACACAGAGCCAATTTCTCTCACAAAGAGTGTGCAAACAGAGACACCTGCCTTGCTGTCATGCATTACAGTGTGGGTCACTTTCTGTGTTCATTTAATTGAGCTTCTTTGCTGTTCCTGCTCATCCAGATTTTCTCCCAGTTCTGCACACAGATCTTCTCTGCCTTGTGTTAGTAGGCAATATAAATTATTGATTGCTATTACGCATTCAGGTTGCTGTGGCTTTAGTTCTTTTAACAAGAATATGGAACTTCTTCCTTGCAACCTGCTCACTCATTAGCACATGCAGCGTCACCCAAATACAGACACTCATGGGGCTGTGGCTGGGAAAAAAAGGAACACTTTTTATCCATTTCTTTGTCTTTAGATTTCCTGATTCATTCTGTGAGTCTTTTTTCACATCAGATTTGTAACTTCATGTTGCCCTGCAAAAAAGAACTCCTGAAAAGAACTTCCTCCACCTAAACTCCTTTCAATATTTGGATCATTTTTAGCTTATTTCCCTATACAGATTCTCCACTTTCTAGGTTATGGCATTTTTTTCAAAATCTTTTGCATTTTGTTTGTATACGTGTGAGAATATTTTTTTCCTCTGGAGACACCAATTCTTTTTATAATTGAAATTTCACCCCTAACTCCCTTCTCCTTAGTGAAACATTATTTTCCTAAGGTGCATAAGAATAGGGCTGAAGTAAAGACAGCTTTATGGGTTGTACAGTCTTTCCAGAGAAGAGTGTATTTTTGTCAGAGCTCTTCGTCCCTTCAAAACACTATTCAGAGGCTGTTCTGGGAAATGTAAAAATACAGCTTTTAGCTTCAGAGAAGACTTCTTATACTCTGTGGGGCTTTAAAAAAAAAAGAGTAATGATTGAGCATCAAACAAGACATTTCTTTCCCTATTTTGAATGATCACAGACTACCTCGGGCACCTTTGTTTACCTTATGTGACCAAATAAATAGTAAAGCATTAAAGAAATCAATTCTGATTTGAGTGACTTGAACAGCAATAGATTGAATTTAGGTCATCTCAGAGCACTTAGCACTGTGAAGGACTGGGACCTTGGAGAGCTATTCCGTTCTTCCAGACACGTGATGCTAAGGACATTCAGCTAGAATTCTGTTAGAGCTCTCTAGCATTGTGATAGAAAACCTGTTTTAATCACAAGGCATATTCTGCTTCCCACTGTAACCTGTGACTAATATCCCACTGACTTTACTAGAAAGCGGAAAACCTATAGATTAATGTGTAAATCAATTCATACCACATGGTACTAATTGTATTCTTGTCTTGTTGCGCTCTGCAGCAGCTAAAAGTAGCATTTGCTGTTGACACAGTCATAAGAACACTATGTTTGTATTAGGAATTAACACTTATATGAAGCACACGAGGAAAATAGGTAACAGACCTGACTATTTGGGTAGCATTAAATTCATGGATGGCAAAAAAATCTGACTGGTACTGCTGTCATTCTGAGGACTATTTTTATTCTTGATAAATGAAGCAGTTCAGTGTTAGTAACATGGGTTTCAACCTCATAGAACAGGTAAATATTCATTCAAAAAGGAAAAGGATCATTTGGGAAAGAAAAAGCGAGTGGTTGAGACTGCATTAATTACATAATAACATGTATATAAATCATTGCTCCTTACACTGGAAATCTTGCCAAGAGATAAAGTGGCAAAGGACTTGCTTTGCATGAAAACCCTGATATTCATACAGATAATGGCAGTAAATTTCTATCTCCTTTTGGACATGTCTTTTTGAGTTTTTTCCTACAGCAGTGATAAAACAGCAGCCTTGCAGATTGGTAGCTATGGTCCCATATTGGGCAAGGGCTTGCACAGTTCAGGCTCCAAACCCATGGCTCTGATTCACATGGAACAGCTGAAATCACTGGATAGAGTTTGAAATTCATTTGTTTATAGGAATAAAATTGTAGCTATTCCCCTAAAAATATTTGTAAAGAAAATGAGATTATTGTGAGATGCCAGTATGCAGCACTGAGTAAGAAGTCACCGCTGCTTTCACTAGGTCTAAATTTGGAGAATTTAGGGGCAGTGTTTCAAATATTTTAGCACCTGTGTCCCAACTCCTAGCATTTTCAGGGTTCATTTCAGGGTATCAATGCTGCTTTTAAAATCTGATTTCTAGTACTCTCAATCTCAAATTTAATATGAATTTAAAAGCTTATCTCTTCCTGAGCAAGTATAGTGTAAGAAAGAAGAGACAGAGCCTTACAAGATGTCAAATTCAGTCTAATATGAGGTTTGCTCCTATCTTTAGCTGGATCCAAGAATATCAGAGCACAGATGTTCATCATTTATTAAATGCATATAATGTGATTGGGAATACTGTCATGTTAGTATAGCTTGTAGCAGGAAATAAATCAAAAAGTTCCCCACTGCAGTGCAGGTATGCTACATCTACAGAGGAGCACAGAAAGGAAATGCATTTTTGTGTTGCTTAACCACAGATGCTATTCAGTCATAACATGTATGTTCTTCTTCATCCCAAATTGGTAAATTGCTGCATGACACTAATTGGGAAGGAACTCAGTCATATGGAAAGCTGCTCCTGCTGCTGAAGCATGGGAGACCTGCATTCAGTCTCCATCTTTGCTACAGAATTCCTGTATGGTGTTTGGCAAGCTATTTAATGTTCCTGTGTTGTCATTTGTAAAACAAAAATATATTTGTTTTCTTCTATTGTTTCTGACTTCTGTTTCAGACTTTTATCTCTATGACAGACCTTTTCTTTAAACAGGCATCTAAATGCAGATGCCTTGTTCAATCTGACATTGGGGTGCAAATGTAATTCAGTTAATAAATGCAAGAAATATGAACAGAGCACAGGTTAAGCCAGTATAAATACCTAATCTCGGGGACAGTCTGTGGCATATTTCCCTGCTGACAACCCTGCTGGCTCTGTTATTCTGTGCATCTGCTTTTCCTCCCAGAAGAATGGATGCAGCACTTGCTCAGACAATTGCAATCACGCTGCTGTTCAGAAGCATTTCTACAGCTGAATATTTACATGGAAATAGCTTGTGTCTCAGGCTGACCAAACCCACACAGCAGCACAGTTCTTCCCGGCGCTGTATGCTTAACATGCAGCCTCTAAAGTGTACTTAATCACTAGGTTTGTGGATTACTATGGCTTGAACCACTGATGCCTGCCATTTAATGTGTTCCCATCAGGTCCACGAGCAAAGCTGCCCTTGAGGCCCCCAACATGCTGCTCCCTGCTGAAGGAACTGACCTCTGTGGTGCTGCAGCTCCTACCAAGAGCGTTTTTCCTTCCTCTAGCAAGTGCTCCCAGAGCCAAGCGCACTGAGGAGCCTCGCGGTGCCGCCGGCCTGCGAGCGATGCCCAGTGCAACATCAGCTCCCACCTGGGGCTGCAGTGAATACCAGCCTGGACCCGTGCTCTGGGAGTCCCCTGTTGCCTCAACTCCTTGGGAAATGTACAGTTTGAAAGGGAAAAGCGAGGGATACCTTTAACACTTGCAGAAACGGGGTAGCCCGGTGAGAGGGGGCAGCCCCAGGCATCCTGTCCACTAGCGCCCCGCCGGGCTGCGCACTCTCTCCTGGCTGCTCTTCCCCCCATCCCTGGGGATTTTGCAGCCCCGGGGGCGAGCGGCGCCCCGCGCCGGGCCCGCTGGCCCCGAGAGGTGGCGATGTTCCCCCGCGGAAGCGCCGCGCCGTCCCGCGCCGCGCCGGGAGCCCCTTTCACCGCGCGCCCGCCCCACCGGCCGCCCCTCGGGGGACCTGTGGTGCGTGACCGCCCCGGCCGGGCGGGACCCGCGCGGCCGCGGGCACGGGAGGCTGCGGAACGGGGCAGCTCCGCCGGAGCGCTGGTTTATTTGCCTCAGAAAAATCCAGGCACACCTATGTCTGTATATACACACACATACACGCATTTGCATCTCTGCACCTTAGGCGGGGGGTCCGTAACCCCAGCAGCAGCGGCGCTTGGCCGCGCTGCTCCCAGCGTTTCGCCTGCGCGTTTTGGAGAGGCGAAGCCGCGGTGCGCGCGGCTCCCGCGTGCGCGTCCGTCCCGGCGCCCGGAGCGGGCGAGCGACCAGGTCGCCTCTCGGGGCTCCCGCCGGCCCGGCCTGCGACACCCCCAGCGCCGCCCCGTCTGCGAGCAGCTCTGCCCCGCGGCCGCTCCCCGGCGCCTTCCCGGGAGGCTCCGTCCCCCCCGCGCGGGACGGGAGCCCCGCGGCCGCTGAGCGCCGTGCCCCGCAGCTCCGCGCCCGCCCGCCCGACGGCGCGGTGCCCGTCCCGGCGCCCCACTCACCGGATGATGACATACATGACCAAGAAGTTGCCGAAGAGCCCCACGACGCACACCACGGAGTAGAGGGCCATGATGGCGATGGCCGTGACCACGG